TTTCAAGGAATTGATTTAGCTAGGTCTCACCATCATATGGTGAACCTAACTAAACCAATTCCAAAATTTTGGATTGGATTAAACATGGAGAAAAGCAAGTTGGCCGCCAAGCTTGGTGTCTTGGCCGAAATTACCTAGCTTCTCTTGCACACTTGGGAAGCTTGTAGCACAAGCTTCTAACTTAGCTTGCTTCCCAAGCTTCTAAGTTAGAAGCTTGCTCCACAAGCTTCCCAAGCTAACTAGACTGGTCAAGCTAAGCTAACCATGGTTCTCTTGAACCATAATTAGCCTAGCTTGCACCACAAGTTTCCTTCACCCTATATAACTCTTTTTCTTACCTTTGTAATCACTTTTGATGATATTGATTGAGTGAGATCAGAATTATCACGAAAATTCTCTCTTCCAAAAGTTGTAAACCTTTTTGATATTCATCCAATTCTCTTATCCTTTTCATAGAAGAGTGTGATGAGGAGTGAAGGGGCTTATCTTCCTTCCAAGGAGTGGCGCCTCTTGAAGGGTGTTCTTCACCAACCGTGGTGATTCCAAGGCTTCTCCTTCCATTGGAAGCCTTGGAGAAGCTTGAGAAGAATCAAGGAGGCAAAGATCTAGGGAGAAGCTTGAAGAGGAATCAACATCAATCCGGTTTCTCAACAATTTTTCCATAAGTTCTAAACCTACTAAAGTTTTCAATCATTCGGTGTCACGTCCCTACTCCAGTTCTTCTTCCAAAATGAATTACCTCGCTTAGAGGCGAAATTCTCCATCATCTGTTCATAACAGATAGCTAAATCCTGCTTCATGGAATAAGTTCCAATGGTTTCTTTGCTCGACATATCGTGAGCAGATGGGAAAACATAAAATATTTGCTGACTGCACAGATATAATTGAATTCCAAAGACAAGACATAGCCAACTTTGGATTACCATTCAATGTGAAAAAGAATTCAGTTGATCGTAAAAGCTATAAAAAGTTGCTTCTTTATTTGGTGCTTGGTAATGTGTGAAATCTCGTTTGCCTCATTGTAAATGGGTTCTCAAACATGCACCAAGATAGGTATCATGCAACAGAATCAGTGACTATGACACCATCTGGTCAAAGAATAATCAACAATAAAGGTGGACCATATATTCATGAACAATAGCTAGAGTCCCAATGAAGGCTGATCCGGACTTGAAAAATGTGATAAGAGAAAAATAGCAGGAGTTTGAGTGAATTGCTTATTTGCACTCAGCATACTGCTATTTATATGCATGACAGAATAAAAATTGCTTATATTTACAAGAACAATGAATAAGAATTGAACTACTATTTTCTAGGATCTTCCTAACACTGACACTACATTAACTCCCAGTATTTCCAATGCTACATTTATTAGTTACAATTTCCAATACATTGTAATCAATGTGGGATCTTACAACAGGAAGCAAGGGTGTTTCTCCCACCAAATACCTATAGAGCGAAGAAGAAATGAGATTATAAAAGGATTTTCCAATAACAGTAAATTATGGAAGACCTAAAGGATTTTTAAGGATTAACTAGGCTTTTTCTTTTAAATATTGGAAACTCTGCTTCATTGAAGGGAGAAAGGGAGTGTTGTTTTGATTTTTTTTGTAATTGCTTATCCCCTTTTGTTGCGGCTATGGTTTTGGGGCGGTTGTGATGGTTCATTTTTCTGTTTCCCATTGAAACATGTTTGTTTTGAGGTTTCTTTTTAAGGATACCATATCCTCCCTTGTATTTTACCCTCTTTATCTATTCTAGTAATATTTATTTCTTCTGTTTATATATTATAAATTCTTACTAGAACTCAGTACATTCTTGGCAAATTTCTTTTCTGTCAAACAATATGTGCTTTCAATTGAATTTGATTTGATCTCTGATGCTTGCATTCTAACCCTTTTTTTTGCTTTAAAAACCAAATAATTTAGTTGATTGATAAAGCAAGAGATTATTTTGGCCTATCCGCTCTGGAGAAGAAAAAAAAAGATGGTGGCGTTTTAAATGTTCATATTGGTGATGTCTTCATTCCCTCAAAGGATTTTCACAGAAGATATGCTGGTGAGTCTTCACTTTGCATATTGCCTAGTTTATCTAGCTCCTCACACTACTTTTATTATATATATACCTAGCTGGTCAAAATATTTTCTACTACCTATACTTTTGAGTAAAAGAAACTCTACCTTGTTTGTGTTTTCATCCACTTGTAAGGAAATTAATTGAAAAGTGAAGCACAATTTAATTGAAAACATTAATGCAGCAATGCATTGTATTCGAGCATATGGGTGCGTCATTATTCATGCAGTAGCAATACACCATTAAAATATCTCTTATTTCCTCATTTTTTAAAGTATATATTATTCTGTGACTATTGGCCAACTTATATTTGAACCATTGTCAGGCATTGTAGTTGACTTGTTCTCCGATGGAAAAGTTTTGCCTCAGCTGCAAGAGGTATGTAGTTTTTCTTCACACAGATATGCATGCTCTAGGTGACTCTGAAGTTTTTCATGGTCAAGTGACAGCTTGTTTAACTTGTTATTATGATAGTAGTAGAGTCAAATTTAAGCTTCCACCAATTAAAAAGTATAAAATGAAATTGATATATTTTTTTTAATGTTTTTACTCGGTCCTGCCATTATCTCATCTATTAGCCAAATTTCTTTAATACTTTAGAGTATGATTCACGTTTTGCATTTATATTATATGGTATAGAAAGCGAGAAGTTAATGGAATTTGGATACTCGCGAGTTTTTCACATGACCAAGCCCAAGGTCCCCCAACGTTTTTCAATTTTGTGGTCTTTGTCTACATCTATCTCTTAACATGACATGCTCATGCAAAAAACTCTTAAAAGAGAATCCAACTTCGATGTTATTGTGTGTAAAAGATATGATTATTTTTTACAATGTGAATGCCTATACCATGTTGGGCACTAAATCTTTGTAGAATATCTGGGAATATCATATTTATATAGAGCAAGTCTATAGATAGTTATCAGAATATATAATTGATAGTATGGAAAAGTGCACACTGTTAGAGCATTTTTGGATTTAACAGCTTCTCTATTAGAAAATACTCTTTATTTTCAGTAGAGAAACTTTTAAAAACCCTTTTAAACTGTATTCAAACATGCCCTAAAATGAAGATAGATGGCATTCAAAAATATTTTGCTTCTACAGTAGAAGTTAAAGAAATCCCACAAGTTGATCAACCTCTGGTCTAGTGAGAAGATTAAATTTAGGAATGGAAATTTCTAATTATTTTTGTAGCCTTATTTCTGAACATTTTTTTTTACTTTATTTTCAATGTTCCTGTTATGAGCATCCGAATTTAGGATTGAAAATTTCTAAACATGTTAAAAAAAATGTTATCTTTTTTAGTTTTGGTTCTGAGCATGTATTTACTTAGTATTCAATGTCCCTGTTATTTCTAATAATACAAAAGACGCCATTTTTATAGTTTGCAATCTATATCACAATTCATTGATTCACAAACAATTATTTTGGTTCTTCCATCTTATTAAAAAGTAAAGGCTTTGTTTCACCATTCTTCATCTACATCCTGTATAAATTTGAGATGAATTTTTTTGTTAAACTGATCATGGAATCATAAAGCAGAAATTAATCCTCAAAATATTCTAAAGTAAAAGTGTTTGAGATTGAAATTTTCTTAATTATACATAAGTAAGCAAATTCATGCAATGATCTGCTTAATTGATTAACTTGCTTTTTTTTCTTCAGAAATCCAAGGACAGTGATAAAAAAAATAAAAAAAAACTTTTACTGTCTCAAGGAATTGTAGCATTATGTTTCAGAGTTCTTAATGCACTTGGCAGGTTAGTACTTGGTTGGAATTACACGAGAGATTGATGGCCAATGGCCGCTTCATGGTGAATTGTGGTGGCAGTGATGGGGGGCCAAATGCCATGGATGGAACTACTGATTCAGAAATTCCATCAAGTGATGAATCATGGTTATTAAATCCAGCATTACGAGCACTATCCAAAGCATTTCCTGGACAAGTAATTCTTCTGTTGCTGACAGCATTGTTTGTCTTTGTTTGATGCATTACACTACATAAATATTACTTTCTGAGCTGATAACGGAACATAATCTTTATATACTATAGAATAGTAGAAAGTAACCAGATACCAAGTGCTTTCTTGTGCAGAAAGTTTCTAAAATGAAATTTCTTTTATGAAAATGTATGGACACATTAAGTGTTGTGTATGACTCATTATATATCATATATATACAGGGTTTTAATTCTTATGTTGATTATTGTACCTGCTCAAGGGTACACTCGTAGTCTTCTTGGTAAGAAGGGCCGAACGGATACTTCAAACGGATTCTTCAGAGGGGGGAGGTACCTGCAAAAGGCACTCCGACGCTCAAGTCAGGACAAGCACGATATTCTAGGATAATTAATGAACAGTGACGTACCTCGTTACGTGTGACCTATTTATAATACCTGACATGGGCCTGAACGTGGTGGGCCTATTCTACTCTTTACCAAATTAGGTAATACGATGCTAATTAGCTAATCATGTCTTAATTAGGCACTTGTCCTTGTTAACTATGATTTGTACTATAACCCTATTAACCTATCGGCACATTGCCGAGCCGACAGGCTAATGCTTGGGAGGTTGCATGTCTTCGACTGTTGACCAGGCCGGTAAACGTTTACTTGGTAATCTTATCGGATCGGCATTGGGCTGAGCCGATACGTAGGATGCGGGGATGCATCATGCTGTTTGCATCGGCCTTCAGCCGGGCCGATGCTAACGTCAGCCTTGGGTATGGTCCAGTTCGCATGGGTGTCTGACGGAACGACACATGTTGGTCAACGTGACCGATAGGGTCCTCCCGGTACACAAGCCCCCCAGCCTTGAGGAGTGAAGCGACGTAAAGGATAAATGTAAAGGGAAATAGGGTACTTTGGCTGCTATTTTGGAGGGAAGGCCAAGGGTTACAATCATTGGTGGGAAACGAAGGGTTGTAACCGTTGGGCACCGATGACGCATGCGAGGAGTTATGACGGGAAACAATTGTAACCGTTGTTATAATACCAAAGGTTATAACCGATAGGTATTAACGACGCATGAGAGGGGTTGCACATCGTGGACCGTTGGATCGAAATGATCCAACGGTGCATAGGAGGGCGTCTCTTCAGATACTTACGAGAAACGCCTATAAATAGGTGTATGGGGGGTGGTCCCCAAAGATACACACTTAACACTTACTCTGAGCCGAGATCGTCTGTATTTGAGCATTCCAGAGCGATAGGTCAAGTTCAAAACTCAGGTACGTAATGGCTAATCTAGATGTTGTTCATGTTGACTCCTCTAGGGACGAAGGGGAATCTAGGTTGAGAGCGACGCCGGACCGAGATGTTGCCTCGGCCTCGGCTTCAAATGGTGATCATACGGGATCCGTTTCTGGGTCTGAACGGTCGCGGAGTGGTGATTCTTCGTCGGCTGTAGCTTCAGATGATCATCAGAGTATGGGTGGCGGATCATCAAGGAGTTTTGCTCCCATATCGACCCCTGGATATTCGTGGGTGCACGGCGAGGTTGGTAGCGTGTATTCTCGATATACTGATAAGAAGTCTCTTGTTAACTTCGTATCGGCCACGAGATTCTTAAACTTTCCCGAAGATGAAGAGCCCTCCGCGATCTTCTTCCAGCCGTGCCGAGGTGATGGGGTGCCGAACCCGGATTTTGTATATTTGAGCCAAGGGTCGTCCAAATATCCATTCTTTTACGTGTACGATTATATGTTCCGGGATTTGAAGATATCCCTCCCTTTTGACAACTATTTTATGGGTATACTTCGGCTCTTGAACGTGGCGCCGAGTCAACTTCATCCAAACACTTGGGCGGCAATGCAAGGGTTTAGGCATCTGTGCTTGGCTCTCGGCCTTTCTCCTACCCCGCATCTATTCCTGCACTTCTATTCGTCTCGGCCTACCAAGAAGGCGAAGTGGTTGTCATTGATTCGGCACCATGATTGCCTGCTACAGCCGTTCACTACTTCCTACAAAAAATTTAAAGTGGGGTTTATGAAGGTGATGATTCGGCCAGAGACGGGCAATAAGTATTTCTTTGATGCCGAAGGGAATTCACATTTTCCCTTGTACTGGACTCGAAAGCCGAGAAAATATGACACGATTTCTAAATCGCGTATGTCCCCGAGGGAGAATTTGAGTCTAAAATTTTTAGAGAAGCTGCCTCGGCCTCTACCATGTCGTCCTCTGGTTCGATTGTTTGAATCGGCCAACGTAGTCAAGAAGCTAATTGGTATAGTACCTTTCTTACTTGTTTAAATTCTTGTGTTATCATTGATTTTGACTAATGATGTGCAGACATAATGGCGGACCACGGAGAGGACGACTTGGACATCCGCACGATAATCCGCAAACAAGTGGCTGCGACCACTGGAATCAATACCCCGGCTGCCGGGCAAGGGAATCCGCCAACTGTCCAAGGCGGTGGGGCGGGGCCAACGAAGCAAAGGAAACCAACTCGGCCCCATCCTGAAAAAAGAAGGCCTGACACAAGGGCCGAGGAGGAGGGCCGTCGGGCTAAGCAGCGCCGAGTGGTTAGTCCCCCTGTTTCAGAAGGCTTGGCTGCGCCAAGTTTTCTGGCCGGCAATGTCAATGCTCAGGATTTCCTGAGTCAAGACTTGACTTCCGAGGTAGGTCAAGGGATGCTGAGCCGTATGACTGCAGCTCAGAAGTGGAGCTTTTTCTGTGAGTTCCAAGTGCGCGCCGTGGCCATGGCACAAAGCATCGTCATGGAGCCGAACGGCGAGGCCGATGGACTGCGTCGGCAACTTGCTGAACAAGAAAAGTCTCTCCAAGAGACGCTAGCGGCGCTAACTGACGCTCAAACGGCCAACAGCAAATATCAGGCCGAAATGGATCGCCGAGGCCGAACTGCCGACAACCTTGCTTTGAAGGTTCAGCGTCTCGAATTTGCCCTGAAGAGTGAGACCGAGAAGGTTGCTGCTCTGGGTAAGGAGCTAGATGCCGAGAAAGTGGCCTTCAGAGCTTACCAAGAGAAGGCACGTAACAAAGTCCTTACCCAGCATCAGGCGGGCTTTGCTCAGGCGGCTCGGCAAGCCAGCTATTTCGGGGACTTTCCTCCCGACTTCCATTTGGATATGACCAAGGATTTTTTCCAAGGGAAGTTGGTGGACCTGGCTTCTATTCCAGCCGACCAACCAGCCGATGAAGAAGCCCCGGCTCGGCCAACTGAGCCAATTGGGGAGGAAACGGCGTATGAGGAGGGTGCGCCTGAGGACGGCCCAGTGCAGGGGGAGGCCGAGGTGCAATCTTGAAATTTCTTCATGTTTGGCGAGTCGACAGTGCTCTTTTAATTTTTTTGCTTTTTGTATAAGTGGGTCGATAGTGCCCTTTGGTGTTTTTCCCGGCCGTTAGTGCCGTAATGAATTT